AAGGGAGGGAAGATCAAAGTTCCATCTGTTGATGTTTCACTTCCTAAAGGAAAGGTTGAGGGTGACATAAATATCGAAGGCCCCGAGATGAAAGGTGGCAAATTCAAAATGCCAAAATTTGATGTTTCTTTGCCTAAAGTCAGTCTCCCAGAAGGTGGTGTAAAAATAAAGGGCCCTGATACTAAAGGTGGGACAATTGAGATACCTGAAATTGATATTTCACTCCCTAAAGCAAAAGCACACGGAGAAATTGACCTCAACATCAAAGGTCCTGGCAATAAAGGAAGCAAATTCACAATGCCCAAAGTTGATATTTCACTTCCAAAGATGAACTTCCCAGAAGGTGATATCAAAGTGGAAGGACCCAACGTGAAGGGAGAAAAGGTCACAGTTCCAGAGGGTAAAGTAGAGGGAGATATCAATATTGAAGGACTCTCTGAAAAAGGAAGGTTTGATATCCCAAAGATTGAAGTTGATAAAAAAGGAGGTGGATTCCACATGCCAACTCTTGACATAAATCTGCCCAAATTTGACCTTGACCTCAGCCTGCCCTCTGGTGTAAACGCTAAAGGCTTCAAAGTTGATACTCCAAGTCCTGATGCATCTGGAGATTTGGAGATGTCTGGTCTTACAGGAGGCCTTAATCCTGCCAAATTGGAAGTTAAGAATGAAGATATAGGGACAGGTGGTCTAGAAGGTCCAGGTGCATCCCTAAAACTTCCCACAGTAAAACTACCAACAGTTGACATCTCAGCTCCAAAGATGGATCTCAATTTTGGCCTTACAAAACCCAAAGGTGATGATGTGGAAGTAGAACTTCTGAAAGCAGAAGGAGGAAGGCCTTCTTCAGGGGGCAGCTTTGATCTACCTGTTTTCCTCAAAGTACCTAGTTTCACTCTTCCTAGGTTTGGGGGAAAGACAAAGAGCTGTAACTTGGAAATACCAGCACCTAAGGGAGATACTTCACTCAGTTCACCACATGTAGAAGGAGAGATCAGAGCACCGTCGGTGGAGTTTGATGGAGGTGGAAAAGTCAAGGTGAAAAAACCTAAAATCAAACTGCCCTCATTTGGCATGTCCAAGAAGGCTGCAGATGTATCAGTCTCTTGTCCTGATGTTGATGTTAAAGGGAAAAAGGGAAAAATTGACATTCATCAACCGGATATCAATGTTGACAACTCAGATGACATGTCAAAATACAAAATGAAATTTCCCAAGTTAAAAATATCATCACCCAAAAGTGAACTCCCAGCGGAAAAAGTTGAAGCAAAACTGGATGCAGATGTAGAGGCGAAAGGTGGCTTCCATGCACCTGATGTCTCTTTAAAACTACCAAAGTTTTCTATGCCAGGCTTTGTCTCTAAAGAAAAAGACCTAGGTAAGCCAAGTGGTGACCTTGAAGCTAAAACCAAGGTTAAGATGCCTTCTGTTGAGCTCTCGCTACCAGCAGCTAAAACACCAGAGACTGAGGTTCTTCTCCCAAAAGCAGAAGTTGATGTCACAGAGGCTGATATAAGAGGTTATGAGGGAAACCTTAAAATTCCCAAAATGCCAACGATTGATGTTTCTCTCCCCAAATTAGACCTTGATGTGTCCTTGCCCAGAGGAAAGTCTCCAAAGATTGAAGGACCAGACCTGGAGCTAAAAGGGGGTGACGGAAAATTCAAAAGGCCTCATTTTAATATGCCTGCACTTGATATTTCACTTCCAAAAGCAAAGACTGATTCACCCGATTTAGAAATGAAGGCGACTACTGAGGGAAAGTTAAAAATGCCTCACATAAAAATGCCCAACATTGACATATCGCTTCCTAAAGGAAAACTCAAAGGTACTGAGGCAGAAATAGAAGTGGATGGACAAGGAGAAGCAAAAGTCAAAACACCTTATCTGAAAATGCCCAATGCTGATGTTTCTCTGCCTAAAGGTCATATTGAAGGTCCAGAGATAGAGATTCAAGGAGAAGGTGGAAAATTCAAGATGCCACATCTAAGTATGCCTTCTGTTGATATTTCATTGCCCAAAGGGAAGATTGGAGGTCCAGATGTTGAAGTAGAAGGACATGGCAAAGGAAAATTTAAGATGCCTCACTGGAAAAAGCCAGATGTTGATATCTCTCTAACCAAAGGACAGATTGAAGGTCCAGAAGTGGAGTTAAAGGGGGAAGGTGGAAAATTTAAGATACCACATCTAAGCATGCCCTCTGTTGATATTTCACTGCACAGTGGAAAGACTGGAGATGCAGAGACTGAAACAGAAGGAAATGAAAGAGCGAAATTCAAAACACCACAAATGAAAATGCCTTCAGTTGATATTTCAGCACCCAAGGGAAAGATTGAAGGTGCAGATCTCGAAATGAATGTTGATGTTTCTCTACCTAAAGGAAGAGTTGAAAGTCCAGGAGTTCGAGATGTGGAGATCAAAGGAGAAGCTGGAAAATTCAAGATGCCCCACATCAATATGCCTTCAGTTGATATTTCACTACCTAAAGGAAAAACAGAAGGTGCAGAGATCGAGCTGGAAGGAGGTGCAGGGGGGGGGATCAGAATGCCTCAGGTCAAAATGCCAGGTTTTAACGTCTCTCTACCCAAAGGAAAAGCTGGCAAAATTAAAGGAGAGATGGAAATTGAGGGAGATGACAGCAAAATGCCACATATGACAGTGCCTTCAGTCAATATTTCACTTCCAACGGGAGAGACTGAAGGTGCCAACGCTGCAATTAAGGGTGAGGGAGGAATATTCAGGATGCCAAAAGTTGACATTTCTCTTCCTAAAGGAAAACCTTCAGTGCAAGGTCCTGAGGCAGATATCAAGGGAGATAGAGGAGAGTTCAAGATGCCAAATGTGGGCATATCACTTCCCAAGGGAAAAGTAAACATTGATACACCAGCAGAGAAAATGGAGACAGAGGGAGGAATCATCAAACTGCCAGATATCAAGATGCCAAAAGTTGATATTTCACTCCCGAAAGGCAAAAGTAAAGGTAGTGTGGTACCTGTTGTAGAGATGAAAGTAACCAGTTCTGATATTAAAGTTCCAGAGGGACAAGTACTACTGCCAATGGCTAAAACCACTGAAGCAGAGATTAACTTACCAAGTGGTAAGGCTGATCTGGACACTGGGGCTCTTGGAGAAGCTGATTTGCATTTTGAGGGTGAGCACAAAGGCCTAAAATTAAAAGTCCCAACAATAGATATCAAAGGTCCAAAAGGAGGCTTAGAACTTGATACTGGACTTCATAAAGGGGAGGGAAAAAAGGACAGGAAAAAGGTTGATCTACCTGACTTAGATGTCACTACAGAAACCAGCAGCAAAGTAAAAGGGCCTAAAGTCAAAGGAACAAAATTCAAGATTGGAATGCCAAAAAAGAAAAACGGTGGAAAAAGATTTGAGTATTTTGAAGTTAAAACCCAGAATGGTCATAAAGATGACAAAAATCGTGTTAACCATCCAGTACCAGAAGTTACATTACCAAGTGTAAGTCTAAAAACAGAAGTGAAAGGAGAGGGTGGCTCCTCATCTCCACATGCAGGAATCAGACTCCCCAAAATACCAGACATAGAGTTTGATATTGGCTCATCTCAAGATGGAGATGACAGCAAAACAGAAAAAGGCAAGAAAATCAAAATCCCGAAGTTTGGCATCCCATTACCTTCCCTATCCTCACCAGAGGAAAGTGTGAATGTCCATGGGCCAGAAATTCAGTATGAGGGCCCTAAAATGCCTAAAGTAAAGAAAGCGGTTTTTGTCTTGGTAGACACTCCTACAACAAATGAGCCTGCTACAAGCACAAGTCCCTTAAAAGGGGAAGCAACAGAGACTGTCAAAGTGAAGATGCCCAAAATCGAAAAGAAGCCAAGCCAAAAGTCAGCTGCTGCAAGTGCAGAAAAAGAAGGGGCAGAAGAAGAAAAGTCAAAGGGGGGAATAATAAAGATGCCTAAAGTGTCGTTTTCGTCTGGCAAATCTGCATCATTTGGTGGTGACACTGTCAAAAGAGAAGGTTCAAGTTCAAGTCTCAATGGTGAAAGCCCTCACAAGGGCTCCAAGGAAGAGAAGGTGGCATTCAGTGGTAAAGTCAAACTCCCAAAGGTGGAGTTCACCAGTCTATATGGGAAGATGGGTGCAAGAGGAGCAGACATGGAAACAAGTGGGGGACTGGGAAAGCATTCATCACCAGAAGAAGTACAATCAAGCACAATGTTACCAGGGGGTTTCACTGAGGAGCCTTTGAAGGATTTGGTGTCTTCTCGTGCCAGAACAGAAATGCTGGACAGGGACAGCTCAGAGTCCCCTTCTGGTTTTGCCACGGAGTTCACCTCAACAAAGTTTCAAGCTTGGAGCAAGGTGGAGAGCAAAAGCAGGGAATCAGAAGAAAGAGAGTCTTCCTCATGGTTTAAGGTCCCAAAGGTCACCTTGAAGCCACATGCCACAGGTAAGGCTAAAGGAGATGCTATTGGGCTGGCATTACGTTAATACTGCTGTTAATGTTATTATTAAAGCCGCTTTTTGTAAAAACCCTCTGAGATATTTAATTAAAAACTTCACCACAAGATGGCAGCATTTTACCAGAACGTTTTTGTGCAGGTTTTGAACCCAACCCAGTCAGCTTTAAATTCTTCTGCGTTCATTTGAATCACTGTGCATTGCCACACTAAAAGACTAGTCAGCCAGTGTTTGATGTTTCTTTAAGAAAAATGCATAGCCTGAGCTCATATATATATTAATAAATATAGTAAGGACAAGAAAATAGAGATTTTTTTTTTTTATCAAAGCACTACATGGAAAATTTAGAAAAATCAAAATTTGTATCTACTCCGTCTATTAAATTTGCCCGTTTAGTTGCATTATGAAAACTGTAAGACTCGAGACGATAGATCAGCATATAAATGAGAAAATGAAAAACTGTAAAAGTCTACACATTCAACAATGATGTTTAATCAATTTTGCATGTGGTTTTCATATGTTATGTCTGGATTTTGGTTTTTTCACTATATTACCACAGGATTTATTAGAATATATTTTACACTATCTATACTTTATTCTTGCTGCTACCTTTGATGTTTTTTGTATATTTTTTTGTGTGCCTGGTAAATAAATCTCTAATCTATATACTCTTCTGTTTTGTCTCTTCTACATAAGACTAAGTTTCTTTTCCCTCTTGATTTCTTCACCTATCCTCCTCTTTTCCTTTCATTTCTCTCTTATTTCCTGGCCTACCTCGCAGGCTTCCTCCAGATAACTCCAGAGGGTTCTCCTCAGGCCCAGCGGAAAGGTGAGGTAGGGGGTGAGGCAGATGTCTCGGGGTCTTTCTGCCTCCACACCTCAGGGCTCGACTTTACCACCTCGCAAATGACCGAAGAGCACCAAATCTCTTCCTCCAAGGAGGGAACTGTCACCATGGTGACAAAGACTACCAGAATCACCCACCTGGCTGAAACACGAACAGACGAGTCTTCGACGACCACAGCAACAACAAAAACAACAACAGCAGCTCACCAGGTGTCAAAGTACTGAAGATGCTGGAATGGTATCTTTAATGTATTTTACTTTTCTTGTTATTGTTGTTTTGTTTTTTTGTGAGGTTGCCGTGTTAATATAAAGTAAACCTCTAATAAAAGGACAGTTCATCCCCAAATTAATGATACATTTGTTTTTTCTTCTGACCTGTTGTGCTGTTTATCTACTGAACTTTTTTGAACTGATTATTTGTGGGCTCCACGCATCATTTCTCCAGCTAATATCGCCAAAACTGGGCAACTCTAACCAAATCAATTTAGATGGATAAATAGTAACACAACCCAGAGGAACACCATGTATATTAATTTGGGGTTCATCTGTGCCTTAACAAAAAAATTATATTATATTTTCATAGATGATGTATGAATGTGATGAACTACAATAACATTACATCAAGCAGTATTATTGTCATTATTATAGCTAAAGATTACTATATACTTCCTTCTCTCATCTTACATGTGACGACTTTTTTTGTTACAGTTTGTTAGTTTAGTCCAAATTATTTATCCGATTTTGTTTGGTTTTTAAAGGTTTCACTCTGAATGTCAACATGTCGGACTGCTTCATTATTTATTTTTGTTTTGTGTTTGAAATGCGCTGGAAAGAGTCTTTTACTCACATCGACTTCATGGTTCATGATTCAGTTTCATGATCATTTAAAAATATTTCATTATGAACCATCACAACGTAGGCCAGAGGAATATTTATGTAAATAAAACAATATAATTGCTTTTTTTGAAGCTGTTTCCTTTTCAGTTCATAATGTATTTTCATATTTACCAAAGCATAAATGATATTGTTTTGACCTGAAACGATGTTTTGTTGATCTTGAAGAAAAAGTGTGAACTTTCTGAGATTATGGGCTTTTTTTGCCATAGTTTTATATATTAGCACATTTAGCCTGTGCTTTTTTTTTTCCAGAGGTCAGTGAGTAAGCAGGACGCTCTGGACTCTTTTTCTGCTGTGGGGATCAAACCTGTGACTATCTGGTTATAGGTTGCTCTCAAATATTTAGCCCAACCTGCTGCTAATATATTTTTTATTAATGTTTTTACTGTACAATGCCAAAAAAAAGGGCACCACTGTATTTTCTGTGAATGAGGCTGTAGCTTTAAAATACACTGATATTTATGAAGCTCGGCTGTTAAGTATTGTTGCGTTTCAAAACATCTGCAGTGAGCTGGACGGAAATTTGGGGATTTAAACCAGAAATTCAGAAATTTTAGAGAGGAAACTGTAAAGTTTATTCTGTTGATCCAAGTTGCTAAAAGGCTGCTAGAGTGAGACTAGTGGGGGTGGCGTGTCTTGATCTTGTTGCAAAGCAATCGTGTTAGAAAAAAAGGCCAGAAAACAAATATTTATTTCTAAAAACACCAAAAGTAACTGTCAGAGTGATTGAAACTTTAAGTGCCTTTACCCAGTACATTTTAAACAATGTATCTACTATTTAATGTATAAACTGTTTTAAAATGGAATAATCTTCTTGAATATCAGTTTTTATGTCTCTAAATTTTGATATTTAAGTTTAATTTATAAACAAAGAACTTACCATTTATAAACATGTTTGTAATTTTTCTGGTATTCTGTTAAAACGTCCTACCTTAGAGGATACACCAATCAGGCTTTTTGAACGGTTTTCTGTTTTCAAGTAGATGTAAAACATTTAAGAATAAACACTTTTGTGTTTCCTTTATTTGGTTGACTGATGGAATGAAGCTGCGTGGTAAAATGCATGAATCCATAAAAGAGTTGTCTCATTAACAACGTATAGCACAGTGCCTTTTTTTGCAGCTGAGAACTAGAGCTTAAAAAAAAAAAAGCTGAGACGAGTAGTGACATGTGAAGGTAACGCGCACTGAGGTAGGATGTACATGCAGAGAGATTTTTAACTTTCTGGTTTAACGAGGTCTTCGAATTTCTTTTTGATTCTAAGGGTTTCAGTGGCAAGTGTTTTGTCAGAGCTGCACTGAAAGAATGTTTGTAAAGATGTTACTTAAATAAAGTAATATTCACACAAAAACTCTTCTGTCCTGTAGTCAAATTTTTAATAAATTTCAGTGAAATTTTCAAAGAGACAATATTATTTCCTACTCCATGTTTTTATATTGCATAATTCACATCTTTTAGTCTCTTTTAGTCTCAGAGTCATCATAAGCTGGGCCTTGGTGCAGATCCTCACTTCATTAAATGTCTGAAACAAGCTGTTTTTAAATCTTCACTTTAAGGCCACCCAACTTTCATAAACCAACT